GGGAAGTTTTAGATGAGAGAAAAAGAGTTTTCTAGGTAGAGAGTGTCGGTACTGTATGAACAATACCGATATTGCTCGTCGTGAATGTGCAAAAATTCAAAGGGTTTATAAGGAGAGTATTGATACCACCTTAAGAGGTATCGATATTGCTCAAGTGGTGTCGATAATCAAATTCTTAGTATTGATACTCAAGGACTTGATTAGATTACAGTCGACCATTTTGGTATCGCTACTCATGGGAGTATCGATATCCAAAATAGAGTATCGATACTCCCAGTAGGGGCATTGATAGATAGGTATTTTTCAAAACATCGAATGTAATTTTGGTATATTTCTCATAGGAGTATTGATACTGAGGGTAGGGTATCGATACTCTTAGGAAGAGTATCGATAATGAGGTATTTTTCAAAACATAGAATACAATTTTTGTACCGACACTCGGGGAAGTATCGATACCACAAGAGGGGAGTACTAATACCCAATGAGGAATATCAGTACCATCGTGATTTTTTAGGCTATAAGCCTAGCTTGGATTAAAAAGACAAAACCAATGAGTTTGGTGGGAGAAACCTTCTAATAAGATTACAAGTGGAAACCTTAATGAATTGGGTGATAACATAATATTCCATAAGACTTGTGCTTTTGTATGATGCTCGAGAAACAATGATGACGCCTAAATCACTTGTATGACGATTATGTGATAGAATAAGGATTATCCAGATATATCCAATTTAGTGGTTGTGCACTTTAAATTCTAGTTGGATGTTATATCAAAGTTATGTGATCTGAACATGTCTTGAGTACTCTAGAGGAATAGATTAGTCAGGCAAGGTATCGATGCTATATGATACGAAACTAGCTTGAAGTATAGGGGTGATACTGATGCTATGTGACATGGGTCTCGCCTAAGGGTGTTGTAGTAACCAAATAGGGGTGTGGTTTCTGTAATTCTAGGTGACCCCAAGCAATATCATGACGCTTACTTTTGTTGTTGTATGAATGTATTCAAGTGTTTATAACCATACTTGTCACATGTTTATATTTTTGAATGTTTGTAGTATAGTCAAGTTATTTATGTTACACTGAGCTTGTGAGCTTAGTGTATGGCATGTATTTCTGGGCGCAGGTTCTTAGGTGCCAGTTGAGGAGCTCATCGCCAAATTCAGGATTTCCAAACTTCATCATCGTGTGGAGTACGTGTCGAGCATTATAGTATACATGTACTATCGTAAACCCTTGTTTATTTGATTCGTAAACTCTATTTGGATTTATTTATTTTATGTATTTTCATGGGAGCTCCCCAAAAGTTGTAAACTTAACTTATATTTTGTAAACGCATTTATGTATAGTCTTTTAATATTTTTTTAATGTATGACTTATTATTTTTTTAATGTTTAGCTACGTATATGGTTTCGTGTAATATTTTTGTCCTCCAGATTTTGAGTCGGATAAAATTAGGGTGTTACATTTAGTGGTATAAGAGCATTAGGTTCAGTCTTTCCTAGGACACGCGGGTTAGAGTCGTTAGGTATTAATAATGTACATGCCTCTAAAGTGTCAAGCATACTTAAATGTCTAAAAATGAAAATACTGACTCTTCTCATTTCTTGGAAAATTGTAGGATATAGCGGACGACCTCATCTATAGTCAGGAGGGTCATGCCTCTCTAATTGGAGACATGAGATACAAGTTCGTTTCTGACTCCAAGGATGTGAACTTCCCAGAGGAGACAGACTTAAACGAGGTTATATTTATAGAGACCTCATGCATACATTGAGTTACATCGTAAGGGCTATCCCTAGAGCACCCACTGTACATGTTCCACCTCTAGCAGCCCCTCAGGAGTCCCCCGTTGAGAGAATCTACCCCTATAAGACCATTGGCTTCTTGGTTTGAGAGATGATGATCCTGTACCCGCCGATCAGTGGCTTTGTAAGACCCTTCACACCCTGCATCAACTTTATCTTACCATTGAGGGTAAGTTAGAGTGCATCAATGCTTTACTAAAGGGTGATGAGATAGACTAGTGGGAGATCGTAGAGTTGGCATTAGAGATAAAATGATCGACTTGGGAGCTATTTCTGTTAGAGTTTAGATAGAAGTACATCGGTGAGACCCACACAGATAATTTGAGGGATCGATTCTTGCATGTAACCTAGGGTGATTTGTTTGTGTATGAGTATGAGAGCAAGTTCCTACCCTTGATCCATTTTACACCAGAGCTAGTGGCGATAGAGGAGCACTGCTACAAGATGTTCGGGAAGGGCTTCCACTTTGACATTCTCACCCACTTAGCAGTTAACCTGCTTAAAGTCTTCTCCGATTTGACCCGCCGTGCAAAGTTGATTGAGCAAGTCTAGAATATGATAGCATCACTATCGAGTAACATTATGTGATAGAGTCTTAAAGCCCCAGACACTTTTGGATCATCCCAGAGTTCGACCTCGAGGGCCAAAGACTCTCGAGGGTTATGAAAACCATCATCTTCTTAGTCCAAGAGGTCAGGAAAGGATCATATGAGGCCACTAGCTTCAACATTTATGGTGAGCATATATGCTTTACCAAGGACCATGCAGACCCCGACATACAGACACTATGGCAGGAGGTAATTAGGGGAGTGCCATAGAGTTTTCAGAGTATGTTATGTGTTGAACTATATTTTGATATAACAATTAAGGCAACATGTTTTTTTGACTTGAATTGAATTTATTCATAGTTTTTAAAAATAATTCAAAGTCCATTTAACTTGGAATTAAGCACAAAATGTTTTTCTGGACAAGCAGTACCGATAATGTTCTTACAGCATCGATACCTCATGAATAATACCGATATTGTTCATATGGTACCGATACCAAAAGGTAAGGAAAGTATCGATGCTACCAGCTTTGCTCAAATTCCAGAATGCAAAAATGGTACCAATACCAAAAAGGGTATCGATACTACTTTACATAGTAGCATCGATATCATAAGCTTAGTGTAACACCCCAAATATCGGGTTAGTGACTAAAGTGTAAGAATTTAAAATTTAGTAGTTTAATTTCGATAAATTAAAAAGTTTAAGGACTGATTCAAAATTTGTGTTTAGGACTTTTTATGAAAGATTGAAGGATGGAAGGGTAAATGGTATTTTGACAATAAATGAATTAAAAATTCAATCTAAGGGTTATTTAAAACGTGATCAATGGAGAAGAAACAAGGAAAACTCTAGAAGCTTGCTATTCTCTTCTCCTCTTTCTCGTGAACCTCCATGCTATGGTAAAAGACTTCAAATTTGATTGTTTCTTTCATTTCTGATTTGGTTTTGTTTCTTTGGGTGATATAGAAGCTTAATAAAGCTTAAAGATGAGTTGAAAATAAGAGATGGATAAATTAATGATGAATTAGAAAAATGGGTTTTTTTAAGGGAATTGTTAGAAAATGATGAATATTTGGATTATAAAGGAATATTTGACTTGTAATAAGTGTAAACAAGAAATTTGAAGTGTTAGAAAGGATTGATAACATGTTTGAAAAGTGATATGATTTTTAGTTTAAGAGTTATATGGAATATTTTTTATTATTAAAGAGGTTTTATTGGAGATAAATTAGTGGCAATAAGTGAATATGAGTTTGAAGGTATGAATAGAGTTAAGGGCATGAGATTTAAGTAAAAAGTTGGTAAATTTCAAAGTAAAATAGGTACCGAAACCCAAAGGGGTACCAAAACTACCAGCTTTGCTCAAATTCCAAAATGTAAAAATGGTACTGAAACCCAAAGGGGTATCGATACTACTTTACATAGTAGTATCGATACTGTAAGCTTAGTATCGATACTGTTAGGCCCAACGGCTAGTAACAACTAGTTTTATTTAAAAATAAAAAAAGGTTGTACCGATACTCCCTATAAGAGTACCAATGCCCGCTGTACTGGGCAGTTTTATTTTGCAGAGAAAAATATCCCCAACGGTTCTAAAAGACTTCCAACGGCTAGAAATGGCCACAACTTCATTCCAACATATAAATACAAGTTCAAGACACTTGAAAAAGAGTTAGAACACCTATCCAAGCAATCAAACACAAGAGAAGAGTTTTTCATTCCTATTTTACTTTCTCCTGTAAATATTTTTTTCTTGTGAGTTTTGATTTTTAAACACCCTACCTTTAAGAGGTTTTATTTGTTTACTTCTTTTTACCTTTTGTAAAGGGGATTGGTTCTAGTTTAGCGAAGTGAAAAACTAGGGAGTTTGTAAATGTTACTCTTGATCCTTGAAAAACAAAGAACAAATTAGTGGATTTGTTGTAAAATCCTTAGTAAGGAGCTAAGGTAGTGGAGGTAGACTTAGTTGAGAAGTCGAACCACTATAAATCATTGTGCAAAACTTTCTATCTTTTATTTCTTCTTACTCCCTAAACAATTTTTGCCAATTAACCTCTCTTGCATATTTTTCGGTTGTTTAATTAAGCCTCTTCGATCCTAACATTATGGGTGTGGGTTCCTTGAGCATCTCATCGGAGACTACTTTAAGGTAGGGAGTGTAGCTCTATTGACTGTTTAGAGATCGACTCAGACTGTTCAGAGTGGTCAAGAATCCTTTCAGAAATACAATAATTCAACTTCCAGATAGTAGAGTAAGGGTACCACCAGATCTGTAGTTGGTCTTGAGGCTAGGGTTACCTTCTACCAATACGGAATTAGAGTTTAGGAGGACCGTGAGGCTGTTGATGTCATCTCAAGTATCTTTATAGTGTTTAGTATGCCTATTACTTCTTTGGTAGATCTAGGGTCAACTTATTCTGATATTTTTCGGGTCTTATCCGATAGATAGATATCTCAATCGAGGACTTAGAAGTCAAGGTTTGGGTTTTAAGTCTTTTAGGATTAGATGTGTTAGTGGACAAAGTCCACCATATGTGATTAGTAGAGATCCAAGGAAAAACCTTTCTAGCAACTTGATGGAGCTACCATTTCGGGAGTTCGATGTGATCCTTGGGATGGATTAGTTTTCCAAGCATGATGCGAGTTTGAGGTGTAGGGCTAGATAACTTAAACTTCGTAATTCAGATGGCACTAAGAGGGTAATGGCAAGCGTTGAGCTCATTTAGTGGACACTCATATTCTGATTCCAAAGCTTAAGAAGATTCACGTAGTAAGAGACTTTTTCGATGTTTTTTCTAGAGGAGTTATCAGGTTTACCACCTGATATAGAACTAGAGTTTGACATTGAGTTCATGATAGTTCTGCTCTGGTGTCCATCGCTCTAATGGAGTCGAAGGAACATAAGACCCAAATTCAAGAACTTATATAGCGAGGATTCATCAGACCAAACATCTCACCATAGGGAGCACCAATGTTGTTTATAACGAAGAAAGATGAGTCCATGAGGTTGTCCATTGACTAACTTAAATTAAATAAACTAACCGCGAAGAACCGATATCTGCTTCCAAAGATTGATGACTTATTTGACCAACTTAAGGGAGCTAGGGTATTCTCTAAGATTGACTTGAGGTTGGGTTACTATCAGTTGAACGTTAAGGAGGTCGATATATCAAAGACTGTATTTAGGACCCGATATGGTCACTATGACTTCCTAGTGATGCCTTTCAATCTCACCAATACCCCATACACGTTTATGAATTTGATGAATAGAATCTTCCATAAGTATCTATACTAATTCGTGATGGTATTCATCGATGTCATCCTGGTGTACTTGCATTCAGACCTTGAGGGAGCGCATTAGTTATTCGTCAAGTTTAGTAAGTGTGAGTTCATGTTGCTAGAAGTATCATTTTTGAGCCATGTGCTGTCAGCGGAAGGCATCCAAGTTGATCATCCAAAATTCGAGCCATGGTTGAGTGAGAGCCACCTCAGAATGTGCCTGAGGTATGTAATTTTCTAGGACTTTTCGAATACTACCGTTTTGTAAAAGGGATTTCTATGATTGCCGCTCTGATGACTAATTTATTGCAAAAGAGAGTATCCTTTGTATGGGATGATAAGTGTCAGTAAAGTTTTTAGATTCTAAAGAATATTTTGACTCAAGCACAGTGTTGACTCAGCCGATGTTGGTTAAGGACTATAGTGTATTTAGTGATGCTTCACTGAACAATTTGGGTTGTATGATTATACGGGAGGATAAAGTGGTTATATAAGCGTTTTAACAACTTAAATCAGATGAATGCATCTACACCATTCATGATTTAGATCTAGTCATCGTGGTATTTGCTTTGAAGATTTGGAGGAACTATATCTTCGGAGAGATGTTTTACATCTACACCGACCACAATAGTTTGGTGATTTTGCTTACACAAAATGATTTAAATTTGAGGCAGTGACATTGAGTAGAGTTGCTTAAGGATTATGATTTTATGATTGATTACCACCCAAGTAAAGAGAATATAGTGGCAGACGCCTCGATTTGAGTTACAAGTTAAGATGGTTAAAAAGGTGGGAGAACTTCAAAAAACCGAAAACCACTTGTTAGTTAAGGTTGAACAAATGTGTTGTGGAGGTGTCTTGTTTTAAGCAGAAGAATGACGTTGTATTATATTTCTGGAGATGTTTGTGTGTTCCATCGAACAAAGAGTTACGAACTAAGATCCTTGGTGAGGTGCATTATAACCCATTTTCAGTCCATCATGGAGGGAGAAAGATGTATGAAGAACTTCGTCAATTGTATTATTGGTTAGGTATGAAAAAGGAAATGTCTGAGTTTGTGTCTAAATGATTGGCTTATCAACAATTTAAAGCGAAACATCAGGTTCCATCAGGGTTGCTTCAGCTTATCCAGATTTCACAATGAAAGTGGGATAGAGTGACCATGAATTTTTATCTAACCAAGTCTGCTCATTTTCTATCCGTTCGCATGGATTTCACCCTATAGAGGTTGACTATATCGTACTTTTAGGAGATAATGAGATTGCATAGAGTACTGATGTCGATTATATCTAACCAATATTTGCCATTTATATCAAGGTTTTGGAAAGAACTTCATGAGGCTTTAGGTACATGATTTTATTTCAGTATTGTTTTCCATCCTCAGACGGACGACCAGTCTGAGGGAGTAATTCAGATATTGGAATATATACTTAGATGTTGCTTGATATACCTCGAGGGAAGTTGGGAGGATCACCTAACATTAGTCAAGTTCGCATAAACCAACCCTACTAGTCGAGGATCCAGATGGCTCCCTATGAACCCTTGTATGCAAGGAAGTATAGGACACCTTTGTGTAGGAAAAAGCTTAGCGAAAGTAAGATAGTTATCCTTATTTAATTAGAGAAGTCGAAGAGAAAGTCTTATTGATTTAGAGTCGACTTAAGAAAGCTTTTGATCGTCAAAGATCTTACTCAAACTTAAAGTGTAAGGACATAGAGTTTGAAGTGGGCAATAAGGTTTTCCTAAAGGTGTTACATTGGAAAAGAGTGTTTAGGTTTGGGCACAAAGGGAAGATAAATATGCACTTTATTAGACATTATAAGATACTTGAGCGAGTTGAACCCATAACCTATCGACTAGCCTTGCCGCTAGAGATGAAGAGAATTCATAATGTATTCCATATGTCGATGCTTAAGAGGTAACATTTCGATCCATTCTATGTCATTCCATTAGAGCAAATCGAAATAAGTCAAGAGATAACCTATTAAGAAGGGCCGATAAAGATTTTGGATCGATAGGATAAGAAATTGAGAATCAAGTAGATTTTATTGGTGAAGGTCTTGTGGAGTAACCATGAGACTGAAGAAGTAACTTGGGGGACCGGGGAAGATATGCAACATCAGTATCCACATATATTCTACTTAGGTAAATTTTATCCTCAAAATTTTCTTTTAGGAGGAGAGAGTTGCAACGCCCTGATTCCTAGGTTAGAAGTTATGGCCTGACCTGACATAAAATAATATAAACCCATTAGGCATGTGAAAAGTCTTTACCCAAATATGAAGTGGTTTAGGCTTATTTTGGGCCCATTAAGGTTTAAAAAAGGGTATTTTTGAAATGAAGATAAATAAGGGTAGACCAAAGGAGAAATTAACCCCTAAAATCTTTAAAAGATTAAATATCATTAAAGGATATTATGTCACATGTTAGAATCATGTCTCCATCATTCTTGTCTTATTACTCTTTTCAAAACCCATTTTTTTCTCCATCATAAGCAAATGTGATAACTTTGTAGGAAAGGAATTCCTTTATTAAATCAAAGAAGGTAAGTTGAGTAATCTTCTCTCTTAGAGCTTCTTTCCAAGCCCTCCCTCTCCATAAATGGTTGTGGTAGCCTTGGTAGAGGTTTAGTGGGTGGTATTAGGTTTTGAAAACCTTAGGGTGATTTTAGTTCATTTTAATGTTTAAAACCACGTTCTACCTCACCTAAGTCTTGTAGATGAGCTTTTAATTCATATCATTGATTGTTAAAGTAAGAAAAGTGGGTGAAGGCTTCGAAAGCAAGAGAAAGAAAAAAGTCCTAGGGTGAGCTTGAGGTTGTTCTTTCAACTCCCAGGTGTAAGGTAACACACTCCTAAATTTTTCTTACTACTTGTAGATTAACATGTGTAGCTTTTATGCTTGTATGAGTGTGTGAATTATTTGGGTGCATTTGGGGTTTTAAAGCATAAACATGGAAAATTGTTGTTATTCATATATAAAGTAATGACCTTTCATGTTCCTTAAACTCTAAATAAGCTTTAAACACTATTTGGGGGGCCTTGGATACACCTGAGGAGGGATTTGAGATGTTTTAGACAAGAGAAACAAAGCTTTCTAGGTAGAGGGTATCGATAATGAATGGGAAAAATAAGCTTTAAAGTATCGATATTACTCGTCGGGAATGGGCAAAAGTCAATGGGTTTATGAGGAGAGTATCGATACCATCTCAAGAGGTATTGGTACCATGGATTTAAATAGCATTCGTGGTTACACTTTCGGTTGTGTCGTGTTTATCACAGTTGTGGACATTATAGATGTTATCGAGGTCACTGTGGGTGTCACGGTCGTAAATCTTTTTAAAATTCGCACAACTTATCCTACACCATAATACAACTACAACAACAACAAAACCCAGTTCCCATATGCAATAGGGTAAGGGGGAGGTAGGGTAGTAGGCTACCCCCAACACTAGGTTGAGAGTAGCTTCCGTGAAAGACCTCCGGTAGTCAGAAAATAAAAAATATAGATAAAATGCAATGCATGTATAAATAAATACATAAATACATAGTTGAATAGTATTCATATGCAATCATTAATATCATATGCGTGTCTGTAATGGGAAGTAATCCCTGCAAATAAATCCCTACGAAAAAAATCTCTGCATATAGACAAAAACGTAAGACCCGGCTAAATTTAAAAGAGGAAACATGAAGAGAATGATACACAGAAGTCAACGATAGCAAGCCCAGTTCTAAGCCTTCATAAATACCAATAACAGAAACGTATAAAAAGTAGAAGTCATGGGAATTACTACAAAGACATTAAAAGAAGACAGAGATGATACACCCTATAGATGTGACCGACACTACTCAACTACCCTAGTCTTAAGTCTCCATACTTTCCTATCAGAGGTCATGTCCTTGGTAAGGACTAAATCCATCAAATCAGATCTCAAGCAGTCTTTCCACTTTCGCCTTGGTCGTCCTCTTCTTCTGGCACCGTCGACTGTAATCGACTCTACCCTCCTGACCGCATCCGACGGTAGTCGCCTAAGGACATGCCCAAACCACCGTAGTCTTCCCTCCCTCAATTTTTCGAAAACATACACCACCCCCAAGGACATCCTAATAGCAGAGTTTGTTGTCATATCCCACAGATCCCTACCACATGTCCATCGAAGCATTCTCATTCCTGCGGCCTCTATCCTCCTTACGTGATTCTTCTTGATTGCCCAACATTCTGATACATACAACAACGCTGGTCTTATTGCCATTCTATAAAATTTTCCCTTAAGTTTTAGAGGCACCTTCTTGTCACACAAAACTCCAGTAGCGACCCTCCACTTTAGCCATCTCGCCTTTATACGGTGTGTAACGTCATCATCTACACCCCCATCTTTATATATCATAGACCCTAGGTACTTGAAACAATCCTTTGAGGGGAGAACGTGTCCTTCTATGTATACTTATACATCTTTATCGTTTTGGTTCCCACTGAAGTTTGAACATAAATACTCTGTCTTTTTAATATTGATCCTTAGACCTTTTTCTTCCAAAGCAGTCTTCTAGGTAGCCAGTCTACTATTCAACTCAGATTTTGTTTCAGCAACTAGGACAATGTCATTAACGAAAAGCATGCACCATGGTACACCGTCTGGTGTCGCACAATAGATGTCGTCCATAATCAAGGTGAACATGTAAGGGCTAAGGGCCGACCCCTGGTGGAGTCTGATTTTCATCGGGAATGCCTCGGTGTCGCCAACTATAGTCCTGACGTATGTAGTAAATCTACAGTACATATCACAAATCGCCCGGATATAAGCAGTTGGGATCTGTCTCATTTCCAAAGTCTTCCAGATCGTATCGCGGGGAATGCTATCATAAGCCTTCTCAAGGTCAATGAACGCCATGTGAAGATCTCTAGACTTTTCTCTATATTTCTCCATAAGCCGTCGAAGTAGATGAATCGCCTCCGTGGTAGACCTGCCTGGCATAAAGCCAAATTAGTTTTCCGAAACCCTAGTAACTTGTCTCAACCTAGCCTCTATCACCCTTTCCCATAGCTTCATGGTATGGCTGAGTAGTTTAATACCTCTATAGTTACCACAATGTTGGGGATCTCCTTTATTCTTATAGATTGGTATCACCGTAGACTCTCTCCACTCCTCTGGCATCTTGGCAGTCTCTAAAATAATATTAAAGATGTTAGTCAACCACTTAACTCCCTCTTCTCCTAGGGCCAACCACACATTGATAGGAATTTGATCAGGACCGACAGCTTTGTCCCTTCCCATCTTTCTCAAACCCAATCCTACCTGTAGGGCAGTCATTGGCCGTAGTATGATGGTCGGCTGACCCATCAACGGTACTATCTCTACAGGGAGAGGCACCGCCATTAAATAAGCCAAAGAAGTAACTACCCCAAACCCTCTTAATATCATGATCTTTCGCTAAAATAACACTATTATTGTCCTTAATAAACCTAATGCTACCTAGATCCTTTTTCCTATTCTCCCTAGATTTTGCAAGCCTGAAGATGCCATTTTGTCCTTCCTTGGTGTCTAATCTCTTGTACATTTCCTCGTATGCCTTATCCTTTGATTTAGCCACCATTTTCTTGGCTTCCCACTTTGTCTCCTTGTATCTTTGTTTAGCTGTCGACCTTTCTTCGTCGTCATTGCATTGTAAAGACTCCTTGAAGTAAGTTTGCTTTGTCTTCACCTTAGTTTGGACTTCGTCGTTCCACCACCACGATTCCTTATGTTCCTTGGCCTTCCCTGTCGACAACCCTAGGGTGTTTTCGCCCACCTCTCTGATGGAATTTGCCATATTCTAATTTTAAAGAGTTATTTTAACGATTTTTAGAATGTTTTCTAAATGAAAATAACATAATATAATATAGTTGAATCAAATATTAAACTCAATGATAAGATAAGATAATTAATTAATAATAACATTGTGAATACATTATTATTTAAAAGAAATAAGACTATCAACATAGGAAAAACTCTAAAAATATAAAATGGATAAAAATAAATTGCCCTTTATTATTCACTTATGAGAATTAACATATTATAACTCAAAACTCATAAAATTAAAAATAACCCATTATTTATTTTAAAATAACCTATAACGTAAGTAAAAATATATTAAATCCCAAAAAAAATTAACTTATTAGGTCTGTTTCGGACTAAACCCAAAACATTAAAAGTAAAAAAATAATTATTTAAAACATAAAATATAACTAAAAAATTATTAAATCCCTTATTCTTCTTCTATATAGTGCATGAGTGAGAGGGGAGGCAGAAACACTGCTGAAAACATTTTGATGTTTCGATATAACAAATTAAGTATAAATAAATTTTAAGATTTTACAAATGATTTTCTAAGTATATTCGATTTAATTACTCGAATATCAAATTATTACTCCAAGTCTTCAAGATCAATTTCAAACCTTACTAAATGTGTAAAATTGTGTTTTATACTTAATATATTTTTGAAACAAATTTGACAAAGTGTTTTGAACCAAAATCAAGCCTAAAATCAATTTTTCAAAGTGATGCATCGATGCACCAATCCAAGCATTGATGCACCATGGAATAAATTGAACATCGAATGCATTTCATGCATCGATGCATATACTATGCATCGAGCACTCAGAGTTTTATGAAAACATCGAATGCATTTGATGCATCGATGCACCAGCCATGCATCGATGCACTCTGGTTATTTTGAAACATCGAATACATTTCATGCATCGATGCACTGACTCTCTGAACTGATTTTATTAATTATTTTCACACTTAAAGGGCTCTATTGACTCCACTAATAATCCCCAACTTTCATAATCATTTGAAGGTGTATTTAAACAAGTTTAGAATCCATTAATCAAGAACAAGAAAACATAAGAAACAATAATCAAGAGAGAATCAAAGAGAAAGCATCAAACCTCAAGTTTGAACATTTCAAGCCTATTTTTCATTCATTATTCATTTTGCTTTCAAGAACACTACTTGTACTCAATTGTATTTATTTTTTAGTGTTCTTTTCTCTGTTCTAGAATTGTGCAAACAATCTATCTTGTGAGGATTTCCTTGTAAGTTTGCAAATTTGTAAGAGAAAATCGCCTCAGTGACCAAAATTCCCATATAATATACGATTTTAACCAACTTTTTTCGGATTTGCCAAAATGACCAACAAAATTGCAATACGATCGCTAATTCGTAACGCGATCTCCAATATCGCAAATTCGCGTTGCGATAGTTGAAAATCGCGTTGCGATGGTCTACAGTGTCGTTGTGATTTTCCCAATTCGCAATGCGAATAAGTAAATCGCAACGCGAATTGGGAAAATCGCAATGCGATACTGACTATCGCAATGCGATACTTACTATCGCAATGCGATAATACAAAATCGCAACGAGATACTGACTTTCGCAA